AAAAAATCACATATAATTGGTTGCTTGTCTCCTTTGTTGGCTAGCTTTCCCAAAAAAATAAGTTAAAAGATGCTAAACCATTTCATAAAGTTAATGGTCACTTTACTAATTCTGTTCTCAGTGCTGTAAGTGATTCATTTTATATTACACACAGTCATCTGAAGATAAAAATAAACATAAAAATTAGCACAATGTCACTTTAACATTTTTGGACATATCCATCTCTCTTTTGTCCTCCAGGGTCTGAGGCCAGTTCCTCCACCAAAGGTCTGATGTCTGCGTGGTTCCATCTCTTAGCAGCTCTTATTGCTCTCAGTAGGAGGCTGCTGTCACCGCTTTCTCAGTGCTGAAGCAACATTTCAACAATGACTCACAGATTGCACGAGGAGCAGGCCAGACTCTGATTGTTACTAGCATGCCATCCGCTGATGTCGTCATCGCTTTATATTTTCTAAGGCACTTTTTCATACTGCAGGGTTAGAGATACAGACAAGTATCTCTACTAGTGTTAGTATCTCTAACAAGGCAAGTGCAAGTACAGGCATCCCTGACTCTGAATGTGACTTACAACTCTTTTTATCACAGTAATGGCACAGAATATGAGTGTGTGTGTGCATGACCTAATGAAAATGTTATAACAATTTTCAGAATTTGTTACAGTTTCATATTTCATTTGTGTTTTTAAAATCCTTATAAATGTCGCTGACTTTGATGTGACAGTCAAAAATCGGAGTGCGATGCTCTGTTGCACCCTACAGTGCTCTACTTTAAAGTAAAGTGAATGCACTGAGAGAACTCAAAGACTGCACTTACCCCACCAGCTGAACATTATGAAGCACCTTAAACCATGCTTTCTCTCATGACACTGTAAAAGTTTGAGTTGTATTTATATTTTTATCTAAATGTACATATTTATCTACTTTGTTTACAAAATCAGACTTCTGCATGAGTAGAGAAAGAACAAAAGCATGATGCCAAATGAGCTTCTTATTGGTGCCTTTTTAGAAGCAGGACCACTAAACGTGCATACAAGATTAGGTCTCACATGCAAGTGGTAAGACACATATCAATTTGCCACACCATTAAAATGAACGACTGTGATGTTTTTTAATGTTGATGTTGTAAAATTCTTCTTAATTCTTATATTGAAACATTTTGTTTTACATTTATTTGCATTATGGTTGTTTCTCAATATTTTTTTACTATAATATTGTCCTGCTGTATACTTTGTCCTATGCACTTACTTTGTAAAGCGGGACCATGCTGTACGATGATTAAATAAAATTGATTAAGTGACTAACAGATGAAGAACCTTATCCTGTTACATGGTGGCACATAATAAGGGCTGAGATCAATTAAATAGCAAGTGAATGGACAGTTCTTAAAGCTGATGTGTTGGAAGCAGAACAATGGAACAACAATGGAATGGAGCCCATCCCAGCTGTCAAAGGGTATTAGGTGGGATACACCCAGTGTAGGGTTTACACATTAAGAGAGAACTATTCACACTTTGAGCCAATTTAGAATCACCAGTGAACCTAAACGTGCTGTCTTTGCACTCTTGGAGGGTCCAAGTTGGCCATAAAGTGAGCAGGTTTCATCCGGCCATAAAAATACTTCAGTCAGATTCTGAAAATGTGGGAAAGTGAATGAAACGAGCTTTAATTCTTAAACAGTTTAGTGCAAAGCTTTTTTTAAACCCCTTGAATTCAAACTGGAGCTTTATATAAGTAAGAAGAAGTCTGTTTGGAGCAAAGATGCAGCCCAGATATGTTTTATCAGGATGTTTGCGAACTACGTTTTCTTCCCTTTACTCCCAATGCATCACAGCAGATGGCTGTCCCTCCCTGAGCCTGGTTCTGCTGGAGGCTTCTTCCTGTTAAAAGGGAGTTTTTCCTTCCCTCTTAGGTGGTCGTCTGACTGTTGGGGTTTTTTCTGTATTATTGGGGGGTGGGGGTTACATTATAAAGCACCTTGAGGAAACTGCTGATGTCATTATATAAATAAAACTGAATATGGTAAATGGCCTGTATTTGTATAGCGCTTTACTCAGTCCCTAAGGACCCCAAAGCGCTTTACACGTCCAGTCATCCACCCATTCACACACACATTCACACACTGGTGATGGCAAGCTACATTGTAGCCACAGCCACCCTGGGGCGCACTGACAGAGGCGACACTGGCCACCACCAGTAGGCACCGGGTGAATACATCAGAAGCACCAAAACATCACCTGTTGCCCACATAGAATAAGTCCTCAGATGATAGCTGATGGTTTGTGAGACTGATTCAGCCTCAAAGCAGCAAAAGTAGCATCTGAAAAATTAAATTTAATCTTTAAGGCCTAAACTATGAAGTAATTGTCAGAATATTTCATTTCCTTTGTGTGTATATTACGCCATTTAAAAACAACTTTGCATTAATTCATTTTTAATTTGCCTATATGAGTTAATTTGTATCACATTTGCTACATTCAGCTTTTTTGTTTTGTTTGTTTCTTAAAAATGTGTTGTGCAATTTTTTTTCTGTTTTTGTCGGGGTGTGGGAGGATCAATGGAACTTGATACTAACATGATGGCGTAACAGGGTAACTGGTCTAACCTGGTTAACTGCTGTAATATCTGCACAGAGGTACCTGCCTGAGCCACTGTGCTGTATATGTATTATTTCTATTGTTCAGCAACAGAAATAACATGCGTTGTTCTTTGTTTCTGATAAGTAGGTAAAATTAGGTTTTTTTTCTATAGTCTATTCGTTTCAACTTCATTTTAACTTTGTCAGCACAGTGTTTTTGCTATTTGTGGGTAAGTATCATCTAAGAAGGGCAGTGTCATCTAAGCTGATGCTTACAAAGCTCTGAGGACCTTTACTGAGGTGTTTCTCAACTGCGTATTCAGGTCACTTTGACTTTTTTTTGAAGAGCACCTTGTCTACCAATCAGAAGGCTGGCGGATGATCCCTGAGCTCTTTAGTCTGCATGAAGTGATCCTGGGAAACATGGAAGCCTTGATTTTCTAACATCCACGTCTTTTATCCTGTGCAAGGCGCACATGCAACATTATAGTCAAATTTATTAAATGTGTGCACTGGGCTATTATGTATACCATCGGTATACTGCCTTTCCCCATATCTGTGTACAAGGATATATACTGACCTCCAGCTGAACTAGAGAAACTGGCCGGGTAGGCACAGCTTTCTAAAGTGTGAGGGAAAAATCACATTTGGACATGAAAATTGTTATGAAAAAATACCAACAACCTGCAAGAGACAGAAGAAAGCGAGTGGAGGACCGTGCTCCTTGTCCTCCACTTGCTTGCTGGGTATGAGAAACTCACTGCAATGAGAAAAAAGAAGAACAAAATGCAAATACTCCATCATCCACGGGACAGTGCCAAGAAACTGGACTGTAAGTGGTGACACCCAGCAGTGATAGAAGTCACCGTTAATGAAAGATACAGTGACATAACGAATATTGGAATATGTTTAAATTAACAAGCTATGGCCTACATTTTCCCATTTTAATGTTTTCTTGACATTTAATTTATTGATCTGTTTATTTTATTTATTTTATTTTTTAACTGCGATTATGAGCATTTTGCAGCCTATGGTAGTTTGGAAAACTGTAAATAATGACCTTCAGTTTAAAGATTTGTGCTTGCTCAACTACAGCCATCTAGTGGCTACTTGAGATATAAATATTTGAACCCACACTGCCATATTTCATTTTGAAAGCCCTCATCCTTTCAAAACTGTGCTTTCATTTAGACTCTTGAGCTTCACTGTGCACAGTGATCACCACAGTGAGTCTACAGACTTTGTGAAATGGCTTTAAAGTGAAGCATAACACATTTTCTGTCCAGTTTTTAGTCTATATTTTTTAATGAGTGGAACAACCTTAAATGATTAGACAAGATCTTATCTTATTTAAGATATTATCTAAGATTGTATATTTTACAGTTCTTTACAAACTTCTACGGGGGAGAATAAATATTTAACAACTGTTAAAAGGAAGGTGGTTGTAGTGAATCGGGGTTTGCAGAAGCTCTTTTCACCATTACAAAACAATGCAATACAACTGTGAGGCAACAGTTGTTGTGAACTGTCATCACATAAACTGAACTGAACTGCTGGCCATCGTCTTCAACGCAACAGTAGTTTTTATCACCACTTAGCTACCTTTCAAAAACAGCCCAGCAAGCTTTAAACACAACACTGCTGTTGATTCTGTTCTGCTGGGCGTAGCGTTTTCAGAGGGGGAAACGTTTCATCACTCGTCTAAGGGGCTTCTTCAGTCTCAGCTGACTGCAGGCTTTCCCAACCTTACAAGCAGTACATTTGCACAATGACTGAAACCAGCCCACTGAAGGAACAATGGGCTGTGAGGTCAGTTTTATAATCATTAATATGCAAATTCTCATGACCACTGATCAGCAATCACTGATCAAAGCTCATTGATTACTGACATGCAATGAGCAATGTCAGTATTTAGAGTTTTTAAAAATCAAAACTGAGTTATTAAGTGTATGGTGATTCTGTGCTCTTCTTCTGTCTGTACTTCCACCAGGGGTCTGATATCTGACACAGAGCCCAATCCTAACAGCTCTTATAGTCGTCAGTAAGAGGCTGCTGTCACCAGTTTCCTCTGTGGTTTGTTTTTATGCAGTGTTGAAGCATCTAACTGGTTGCAGGAGGGACAAAATGGGCTCTGATTGTTACTGGCCTGCCGTCCACTGATGGCTTCATCACAGGGACTCTCTTTTTGCATTCTAAGGCACTGTTTGGTCTGCTTTGTTAGAAATAAGCACAACCCCTGAATGTGACTCATGATTTTTATTTTGCCCAGGTAAAGGCACAGAGTATGACTGTGCATGACCAAATGAAGTCTGCTTTTACAATCTGGAGGCAGTTCTTTCTCAGAATCATATAAATATTTCAAACTGTTTTTATTGATGTGACTGTCTGAGTTTGATGCCGTGTGGTGCATTCGAGTGCAGTGTTAACAGAATATATATTTATATATTAAGATATGTGTATCATGTTAATAAACATTTACACAATTTACATTTTTATCTATGTTATTTACAAAATCAGACTGAGTAAAGAATGGCCAGCAGCACAATTCGGTACTTTTCTTTTTGCCAAGTGAGCGTCTTATTGATGCTTTATTAGGAGCAGGACCACCAGGTTTGTACACAATGTTAAACAGGTATCACAAGCAAGTTTTCAGTTGTTAAGGGGTGAGATATACACATCAGACAGCAAATGAATGGTCAGTTCTTAAAGATGATGTGTTGAAAACAGAAAAAATGAGCCGATCTGTGAGGGCTACATGAGCGATTAAAGCACAGCAGCAGGTTATACAGAATGCTAAAACAAATTGTGGTGATCCCATCTGCCCAACCATCTTCTTATTTGTAATTTTTTTAAGTAGTCTTCAGGAATAGTTCTCCAGGGTTCTTGAAGGACGTTAAAGATCGTCTTTGGATGGTGGCTGACTTTTATTCTACTCTCTGTCAAGATGATCCCACACTGCCTCAGTAAGGTTGAGGCTCCAGGGAATGCCAATCCATGACTGATGATGTTTTAATATGCATTTCTCTATCCAGGTACCTCTCTGTTTTGTTTTTCGGTTCTTTCCTTCCTTAAGAATGTCTTCTGGAAAGCCACCCTTTCACTGAGACCATTTCTGATGAGGCTTCGCTGAACAGTAGGTGGTTCAACCGAAGGGCCAGATGCATGTTTTGGGTCTTTGCTGGATTTTTTCCACAGCTTTTGCTGTTCCAAAAACATCTTGCTTTTAAAGATCAGCTCTATAAATTCTCTCTGTTCTTGTTTTGTTTATGTATAAACAAATATTTGTTTATTCTATTCATGCTATTTAAAGCTTTTACATTACATGTGGTATGTGGTGTGTGGGGGGGGGGGGGGGGGTATAATTAAAGGACAGAGTACAAATAAAAATTTGTAATGTATGGATGTATACAACACCTAGAGCACACAAATTCAAAAATAAACAGATACAAAAATCATATCTTATTGTGATGTGTATGTGTGAGAGAGAGAAACAGAAAGAGTGTGAGTCTTTGTAATGAAATGCACTTGAAAATGTCAGGAGACAGACACGAAGATTAGGCTTAAAACTTTCCTTTTTGCTAAAGCATATAGTTAGGGCTGGATCATGTGACCCTGAATCCTCCCTTAGTTTTGCTGCAATAGCTGTAGACTGCTGGGAATTCCCATGATGCATTGAGTTTTTGTTCTTCAGTTACCTTTCTCACTCACTATGTGTT